TACAACATGTGAAACTGTTTCTTTATTTGGTTTATTCATAGCTAAGGTACAGAAATAAAACTGATATTTGCATGTTGATTTTGTATCCTGTAACCTAACTGGACCCAATACTACGTCAATCAAGGACAATGACCAAGGCAAGTCTCAATCATCTTAGGACGTTTATTTGCCAAAGGTAAAGATGTGCCTGGGAAACAGGTCTATGCCTTTCTCAAGAGATGATTTTGAGAGCTTCAATATTTAAAGAAGAAAGGGTAAGATACTGAGAAACGTACAATTTTCATGTGAGAGGGAGGTAGAGAAAAAGAGTCATTCATGTCTTTGGCTTTGTGAATATGCATTTTTACTTAAGATAATGTAGACGATACGGCAGAGGAAACAATCAGATATGCACTTGTCTCAGGTGGGCAGAGGGATAGCTTTGAGTTCGGTCCTACGTCCCCGCAACTGCAAAGATAAGCTATCAATTTACATCACCATGACAAATTTTAACAGAAATGTTTTAGGGTAAAGATCTTGGGACCCACAGGGGAGGTGTGTAGCTTTTCATCTTTGTAGCCACCTAATTTAGGAACCAAAATGGGAGGCAGGCTTGCATGACCCAGTTCCCAGCCTGACTTTTCCCTTTGGCTTAGTAAGTTTGGGATCCCAAGATTTATTTTCCTTTCAGTTACTTCTACTTGTTTTTTGGTGGATGTCTTACATATAACATCATGCCATCTTTAACAGATACAGCTTTACTATTTCATTTCCAATCTGAATACTTTTCATTTATTTTTCTTGCTTAATTGCCCTGGCTAGAACCTGTAGTACACTGTTGAATAAAAATGGCAAAAGTAGACATTCTTGTCTTTCCCTGATCATAGAGAAAAGCCATCAGTCTCTGACCATTAAATGTAATGTTAACTGTAGGTTTTACATAGATGTCTGCTATCAGTTTGAAGATGTTCTGTTATCTCCCTAGTTGATTGCTTTTATTATAAAAGGATGTTGGATTTTGTTTTATATATGTATTCTGCATCTATTGAGATGAATGTGTGTTCTGATCATTTATTCTGCTGATATGGCTTATTACATTGATTGTTGGATGCTAGAGCCATACTACTCTGGCACATGGCAGGTGTGGTAGCCTCTAGTCCTCTCAGCTTTTCTACTGGACACAGAAAATATGTTTACCTACCCCAGCAAGCAAGCTGGAGTGAGGGCAACTAGGAACTCTGTAGTCCAGGCCCGTTATGCCTAGCAATAGTCTCCATCCATGAGTGGGAACTTGGTGGAAAAAGGGAGCCTCCTGACTCTTGGCCACACTTATCTGGAATTTAGCCTTAAACCTGGAGTTGGAGTGGGTGAGAAATGCTTGCATCCTTCTCTTTCTTGTGAGACACTTTATCCCTTGTTTGAGAGAGGAAGGGAGAGCGAGCCCCATCTTGCTGACCTCATCCACCCACAGTGGAACTTCTATCAAGTTGAGCTAGGTATGTATGGGGAGGGAAGGAGCAGGTTATGGCTGAAATGCCACACACTCTCTCTGTTCTTACCAAGTTGTGATAGATTTTCTTGAATAAATTTTTTTCATTTGTTACATGCCTTTAAGACAATTTCCAGAAACTTTTAAGTTGTCTTAAAAATCATTTTCACCAACTACAGTTGTTTCAGTGGGGAGTGTGTCCACAGAAGTGGGATTCCCCTTCGTGTACTTTTTAAACTCTAGGGGTGGTAATGATGTCACACTATTGTGAGCCCTGGGGTGCTATCCTTTGTAGTTTTCCAATATCTTGCCAATTCCTTTGCAAATAGCCATTTTATTAAAATTTTCCTCAAACTGCCCAATCTGAGTGATATGGTTTGGCTCATCTTGAATTGTAATCCCCACATGTCAAGGGAGGAAGGTGACTGGATCGTAGGGACGGTTTCCTCCATGCTGTTCTTATGATAGTGAGTGAGTTCTCATGAGGTCTGATGGTCTTATTAAGTGTTTGAGAATTCCTCCTTCACTCTTCTCTCACCTGCCTCCATGCAAGATGTGCCTGCTTTCCCTTCTGCCATGATTGTAAGTTTCCTGAGGCCTCCTCAGCCAGGCAGAATTGAGTTAATCAAACATCTTTCCTTGACAAACTGATAAACTACCCAATCTTGGGTATTTCTTTATAGCAATGTGAAAACAGATGAATACACTGAGCATTCCATATATTTCTTGCTGTAATCCAGACTGACACAATGGGAGTATTCTGAGCATGGAGGTGACCAGGGCTGATCATCTGTTCTCCTCTCCCACCATTTGTCGACACTGGCCAACTAATTCACACCCCAGAGCTTCAAGAGCAGGTTCACTGGCCAAAGAGCCCCATGAAGGGCGATGGGCCACTTGATGAACACTTGCTGTGGTTTCTTTATGACATGAATCAGACTGATCACGTGGCCCTAGACCCAGTTATGAAAACTGTGATCCTGAAGCAAATGGACAACCAGTGTGAATCTGGTGGGAGAGGTCTTATTCATAATAAATGACTCTATAGTTCCCAGGAGAAAGTGGAGCAGACCACTTTGACAGGGTAGAAAATAGGACCAAAAAACATGAAATGTCAGTTTTGAGTTACCCATTGTGCTAGTCCAGTTCTGCATTAAAGAAATATTTGAGACTAGGTAATTTATGGAGAAAACTTTTTTTTTTTACAGATTTATTTTTAAAAAATGAAAACAAAGGTTAAAAAAGTCTGTCACGTCCAACCCTGCCCAGGGGTGTGGGTGGGGAATAGAATAAGCTCAGAAAGGTGCCTACCCCCTCCCTGCAAAGGACATGGCAGGTCAGAAGCAGACCCTCGCCCTTCCTGCCCTGTCTCCTCCGCAGGTAGCTCAAATTGCTGCTAGGAAGTTTTATAGAAAAAGAAGTGTGGGCGTGGAAGGCCGAGAGCTGCCTTCTTCACATCAACAGAAACTCTGGCTGTTCTCTCCCCTTAGAAGTTCTCCAGGCCCTACCACCGGGAGAACCCGGGTGGATGGGCAGGCAGGCCAGGAGGATCAGCCCTCTGGGCTACGTGGCCCAGCCTACTGCAGCTTTCTTAATGCTCTTTGTGAACCAGGAGGGCAGTCAGACTTGCTTCTTCCCAGTCTTGGCTCCTGATTCTGTTGGCTGTACAGGAAGCATAATGCTGGCATCTGCTTCTGGTGAAGCCTCAGTAAGTTTCAATTATGGTGGAAGGTGAAGGGAGCATAGACATGTTACATGGCAAGACAGGGAATAAGACAGAGAGGAGATACCCTGCTCTTTCAAACAGCCAGATGTCACGTGAACTGCCAGAGTGAAAAGTCACCGTCACAAAGTGGGTGGCACTAAGCCATCCATGAGAGATCCATCCCCATGATCCAATCACCTCCCACAAGGCCCCCCTTCCAACACTGGGAATCACATTTCGACACGAGGTTTGGAGGAGACAAACATCCAAACTGCAGCAGCCATTCTGGTACACTTTCCAGTCTCCTCAGTCACTGTGCTTCTCCCAGAGAAGAGTCATGGAAAAGGTGCAGAAGGGGAAAACCAGGGGTGGTAACGGGTCTGAGAAGCCCATCCTCCAGCCTCTGAAGTGCATGCTTCCCTTCAGCACGCTGACCCCATCCTCATTACAAAAGCAGTGAGAAACGCAGCCCTTCCCACTCCAGCACCAGCATCTCCAGGTCCTCTGGCTGCCTCTCTTTGACTACCTTGCTTCTTCCCAGTCTTGATCTCTCTTCTGAGTCGCACGTCCAGAGACGACAGCATTTTACACCACTATAATGTGAAAGCTTTGGCAGGTGCTTTGGGCTTCTAAGAGGCGGCTGCCCTTTACTGTACCCCTTCTCTTCTCTCACTGTCGAAAGTCTGGGGGAAAAGGTGGTTCCAGCACAGTAGAGTGACAACCCAAAACTGAATATCAACCATCACAGCCCTGAAGACGCTTCAGTGCTTCACTGCCACCTGCAGTTCCTGGTGTGCAAGCCACGGTCTCACCTCAGACCCCAACTGCTCCCAGAGACTCCTCTCTGCCTCCCAAGGACTCTCTTCCTACTCTCTCTGGCACCCAGCCTCCAAATCCCAAATTCCTATACTGGTCTTCTAAGGAACAGCTTGGTCCTTAAATGACACCCCAACTCTACCTCTAACCTGCAATATGTATTGAAAGCCTCACTGGGATTTCCTAATCAGCGAAGAGCCACCTTTGTAGGTTTCCACCTCTTAGAGGCCCAAAGCACCTGCCAAAGCTTTCACATTATAGTTTTTCCTTTAAATGATCAAATTGTCAAAGAATTGAGTATTTCTTTGACCCCAAAGGGTTAGAGACTATTATCACAAGTGTCAAAATCTTGATCCTCGTGGTTCTGTCAAATGATCTTAGAATCACACTGCCCTCAGTCCTTCTCTTCCTTGCAGCTGTGGATCAAACTTTGTTGCTTTATTCCTCCAAAATATCTCTAGTTCTGCTAACTATGGATGTCAGTGGCCTTTCCCAGCCCACTGGCTCAAATGTTATCTCCTTATGTGCCCGTCTATTTAATGTTGGCAATTCCTTGAAGAACATCGTAGTGTTTTCTTCTTTACATTCCATTGAGGGAGTTACTAAACAATCATTTCCACACAGAAATGTTGTGGATTATGCAAAAATAATCAAGGACAGCTGTTTCTGTCTTGAAATGTTTGATAATTCTATAAACTTGTGGTTTGTAACTGAGGTCCATTAAGACAACGAAGCATGGCCAGGGAAGCAGGCCTCTCTGTGTGGCCACTGATTCTCCATAAAGCACCCACAATGCACTGCGCACACTGAATTCCCCGCGGACCCCTGATGCTGGGAGGCCACCAAGACTCAAAGTGAGCACAAGGCGCTCATGCTGTATCTACAACTGAGTGAACTGAGTGCTTACATCCCTGAAGGGCCGCGCTTTTCCCCTTAGAGCCTAAACTTGCTTTGAAGGCAGAAAGGCGGCAATGGTGTCTTAAGAAACAAAAAGGAACCATGCTGTATTAGTCAGGGTTCTCTAGAGGAGTTTATTAAGTATAAACTTACATGATCACAAGTCCCACAATAGCCAGTCTTCAAGCTGAGGAGAAAGGAGAGCCAGTCCCAGTACCAAAACTGAAGACCTTGGAGTCCGATGTTCAAGGGCAGGAAGCATTCAGCCAGGGAGGGGAGAAAGATGTAGGCTGGGAGGCTAGGCCAGTCTCTCTTTTCACATTTTTCCTGCCTGCTTTATATTCTAGCACTGGCAGCTGATTAGACGGTGCCCACCCAGATTAAGGGTAAATCTGCCTCCCCGCCCACTGCTCAAATGCTAATCTTCTTTGGCAACACCCTGACAGACACCCAGGATCAATACTTTGCATCTTTCAATCCAATCAAGCCGCCACTCGGTATCAGCCGTCACACATATCATACATTTTCTTATTCATGCCCTTCTTTACATGAGACACCTGATTACGGCGAAAGGCCGGTCCACAGTTCTGCCTTCAGTCCTTCCTTACTCACCAGTGAGCCCCGGGCCGAGAGTGGAAGAACTTGTGCATATGAAACAAGTTCCCTTTGTGCAGCATTTGTTTTTACCAGCATGGTTCTGGGAAACACAAAATACACATGCATGTATAATCTACGAAGTACAAGTAGCGTAACTTCTGGGATTCCACAAATGAGTTCGGTGCACTTAGAATTTAAAACTGGCATTTCGCAACACAAAGATGGATGGTAAAATTCATGCTAACAATTTAAATCTAAATTTTTCTTTACTTAGAAAGATATTAAATAACACATAAAAACACTACGAAAAGTTAAGAGAGAACTGAGAACCAAGAGAAAGCGTTCTATTTTTATTACCTTCACGGCACCTTCCCTGTTTTCTGAACAAGGAGCTCTGCACTTTGAGCTTGCCTGGGCCCCACAGATTATGCAGCCAGCCTTGCAACAGGGAACACATCAGAGCCTCTTTCCTGGGGGTCTAGTGAGGGATGTAAAAAACAAATATGTCAATAAATAATATACAATATAATGTTCGCTAACCATCAGTGGTGTGCTAAACTAAAGAGGCCAGGATGGCTACAGCGGGCCAGAGGGGAGCTGGGAATTAGATACAAATGGGCCCTGGATGTTAGGGGGGTTGTGCAGAAGGGTCTGCACATCCAGATCTGCTCTAAGTTTCAGGAAAGTTAAAAGAAAAAAATCCCTCTGGCTGAGGTTCCTAGAATAGCCTGGAAGGAGGTCCCAACTGGAGAAGCGTGGCTCCGAGGGGGCGCGCAGGGCGAGCCCGGGCGGGCGCTGCCTAACGAGCAGGTTTGGGGAGACTGAAACCTTAGATTCTACGTTTTTAAGCTTGTCTCCTCAAAGTGGGGAACTCAGGAACGTCTCGTGAGCACCTACTGTGTGCAGGGCACGGTGCAGAGCCCTAGGGTAACTGACTTGACCAGGACAGCCGAACAGCTGCAGGATCCGTGGTGTTCCTCAGCACTTTGGGAGGCCGAGGCGGGTGGATCACGAGGTGAAGAGATCGAGACCATCCTGGTCAACGTGGTGAAACCCCGTCTCTACTCAAAATACAAAAAATTAGCTGGGCATGGTGGCGCGTGACGGTAATCCCAGCTACTCGGGAGGCTGAGGCAGGAGAATTGTCTGAACCCAGGAGGCGGAGGTTGCGGTAAGCCGAGATCGCACCATTGCACTCCAGCCTCGGTAACAAGAGCGAAACTCCGTCTCAAAAAAAAAAAAAAAATGAGTTACTGTTGCTGTTATTTGTTTTCTATGTACTGGATGTCTTCATGACGAATCCTCAGTGGTGCAACAAACGCCTCACTGCCCGCGACCGTCGCGCATTCTGAGCCCAGCTTCCGGCGCAGCCAGCCAGGTCCTCCAAGACACCGAGAGAGCCGGCCAGAGCGGCGACGCCCCATCCCGGCCGCGGCGACGTCTGACGGCGCCCCGGAACTGACGGTCTGTGTACGCAGGGGAGCTCGGTGGCAAAGGCGGCTTTAAACGTCATCGCGGGCGCGACGCCCGAGGGACAGTCTGGGGTTTGGCTGTCCGGAAGGTGCGGCGAGACCGGCCGGGAAGATGCCAGTGGCGGTGATGGCGGAAAGTGCCTTCAGTTTTAAAAAGTTGCTGGATCAGTGCGAGAACCAGGAGCTCGAGGTAGCCCTTTGCGTTGCGCTGGGAGAAACTGCGGAGTTTTTCTTAGGCCCGGGGCGGCACCAGTTTCCAGGGTAACGAGGTCTGAGTCTCCCGGGGCGGGCGCGGGAGGTGGACTGGTGGAGCCCTGTCAGTCGCGGCGTGCTCCGAACTCGCCGGGACCTTTTCGTTATTTGTCTTCAGCTTGTGAGCCCGAAAACCCTGTGCGTCTTTGCTCCAGCACCTACCGCAGCTTTGGTGATTCTGTGTCCCTCAGTCATTCAGGACGCTTGATGTAATAGGCAGAATCAGAATACTTTAGGAATCTGTTGAATTTGTTTTTTATAATAGTAAGATCATTTAAATGGGAACTGGAGAACTGGGGAAGAGGATCCACTTACATATTCTTGAATGTATAAAGAAACTGAGGCCCAAAGGGAAATAAAATTGATGACGAATATAAACCATACTCAGGATTTTCGTGTTTGATACTTCTCTAAGCTGTTTCTAAATCTGTAATAGGACTATAAGATTCCTTATAATCTTAGACTTAAACGGCTTTTTAAAATAGCATTAATAAAATATTATCTTTTAAATGTAAGTTAATGGGAAAATGAGGTTTTAAAAAAAATTTTTTTTTTTTTAACTTCTAGGCCCCTGGAGGAATTGCTACACCCCCAGTGTATGGTCAGCTTCTAGCTTTATATTTGCTTCATAATGACATGTAAGTACGTTCACCCTAAGAGCAACAGCTTTCTCAAAGTTATATGGAAATATTTCTGCACTGAAGTAGTACCACTAAAACATAGGCAGAATGAGCTACCTCTTTTATTATAATAACTGTTACATCTATTTCCTATTGAATCATAGCTTAATGAATTATTATTAGGTCGTCGTCTTACATACACTTTCTAGAAAACATTTCCATTTATTATGAGAAACTATGTCAGTAAATTCCTTTCATTTAACCTTTTTGTCTTTTTAAAAACACTTTTATGACCTCTATTTACTTAACTTCATATATAATCAGTAGAACAAAAGAAGTGGAAAGAGAAGATGGCAACCAAGAAGAATTCATTACAAACACGTATGAGATTTCCTGAAAGTTTTTTTTTTTTAATTATTCTTAATTCATGTTCACATGGAAAAGTCAGAAAGCGTAGCTATGCTAGGCTGGGCCTGGTGCCACATGCCTGTAATCCCAGCACTCTTAGAGGTGGAGGAAAGTGAATGGCTTGAGTTCAGGAGTTTGAGACCAGGCTGGGGACTATGTGATGAAACCCTGTCTTTCCTAAAAATACAAAAAATTAGCTGGGTGTGGTTGCACATGCCTCTAATCCCAGCTACGTGGTAGGCTGAGGTGGGGAGAATCACCTGAGCCCAGAAGGTCGAGGCTGCAGTGAGTTGAGATTGTGCCACTGCATTCCAGCCTGGGCAACCAAAGTGAAACCCTATCTCAAAAAGAAGGTGTAACTGTACAAAACGTCTCCTATAGTTCTGTGACTCACCGATGATTCCCGATAAACTTTTATTTTAAATTCCTCCCAAAAACCTTTCTTTTATATCTTTTTAGAAACTAAATTGAACTTTTTGTTACACATTTATCTTTGCTTTTTTGTAAAACTGTAATTATATGGTTGTGGTAGTTCAAGCCTCGAAACCCTTAAAAACTCCTTCCTCAGAAGCTCTGCACTCACTGGTAGGAGGGGCCATAAGAGGGAGAGAAGTGTTGTGTGCCATGCTTCCTGTCAGGGAACTTAGAGCCTTGATAGCACATGAATTTGTTTACTTTTATAGCTGAATAAATTATTTGAGCAGTTCCGTAGGTCTTTGTGTTTTTAGTGTGCTGTTGCCTTAATTTGGGATGTGGATTATTTAAATTCACTAGAAATGGCAAAATATTTTGGTAAAAATATTTCATGTCCTTTTTTTCTGGAAAACCACTATTGTTTCCCCAGAACAAATTCATATAAAACTAAATTTTACTTTGTGTTATGTAAAGTATACTTCTGTACGTTTGCCTTGAGACCTGATAGTTTTTAAACATTTACTGAGATGATTATCTTTTTAATTTATTCTTCTTTGTGGTGGTGTAAATTAGGAATAATGCAAGATACCTTTGGAAAAGAATACCACCTGCTATAAAATCTGTAAGTATCCTTTAAACATATCTTACCGCTTTCATGTAGTGACATTCCCTTAAATGGTAACCTTTTATAAGTTTCTGTTTTCTAGGTGACGTCCTAGAAATAGTCATCAAGCTAATGTTGAAGTTTCAAAATAAATCTTCAGGGTCCTCTACTCAGAAATTTCGATTTTGCTGAGATGGTGTAGAAATGTGTGCTTAGTTCCTACTGATTAGATTTCTTGAGACACTTGTAAGTGCAGCTTCCCTAGTTAAAGAGCTGAGCCCTTTAGATGAAGGAGGGAGGTGGCGGAGACAGCGGAGGTGATTTTCGACTGGTTTTTATTGTTTCCAATAATGGTACTTATTTTGAAACTGCCATTGTTTACAAAAATATTCTAAGAATGATTAATCACAGCAGTAAGATTATTTTGCTAATTAGGATTTTAGATTTCTTATTTTGGATGGGAGATTAGAAGAAACAACCTTGGAAAAGGTTCTTTGAAAATGGAATGAAGCAAAATTTCAACTTCAAATGATTCCATGTGTCTAACATGAGTGTAAAGTGAAATTTTTTAACATTCTCAGAATATTACCAAGAATTCATCTAAACATTTGTTCATTGTCAATATTCATCAAGAGATCAGATTAATATTTTTACTTTTCTTTCCCCATGTATTCTGTTAAGTAAGATTGGAATATTCCTCAGCTTCTTTGGCTAAATAAAGAACAACTATAAATTATGCACATACGTTTCAATGATATTGAAACACTTAGAGAGGCTATAATGTATGACATCTTAGATTGACAGTCTCTATTGTTAACCATTTTGCTATTACTTTTAACATATATATATGGCATATCTATGAAATACAAATACAACATCTTTAAAAACAATATTAAGCTAATTAGTCCCCAGGCTTAATTCTTTATTTATTTATTTTTTTTTTTTTGAGACGGAGTTTCGCGCTTGCTACCCAGGCTGGAGTACAATAGCGTGATCTCGGCTCACCGCAACCTCCGCCTCCTGGGTTCGGGCAATTCTCCTGCCTCAGCCTCCTGAGTAGCTGGGATTACAGGCACGCACCACCGTGCCCAGCTAATTTTTTGTATTTTTAGTAGAGACGGGGTTTCACCATGTTGACCAGGATGGTCTCGATCTCCTGACCTCGTGATCCACCCACCTCGGCCTCCCAAAGTGCTGGGATTACAGGCTTGAGCCACCGCGCCTGGCCCCCCAGGCTTAATTCTAAAATGTTTTTTGACTAGTTTCTAATGCCTTAATTTGCTATTGTAATAAAAAATTTATATCAAGCCTATAAATAAATTTTACATTACTACTCATAGTGTTTAAAAATCCTTTTGCTAGTGATTTGACTGAAAAGGTAATTGCATCTTTTAAAATAAATGTTGAATTGGGTTTTGATGTAGCTAACAAGTTTTTATATCATTTCTGGTATTTTGTTTTAAGATACAGTCATTGGTACATTTCCACAGTGAATACCCTCTAAGGCAATAATATTTATTGCAGGCAAATTCTGAACTTGGGGGAATTTGGTCAGTAGGACAAAGAATCTGGCAGAGAGATTTCCCTGGGATCTATACAACCATCAACGCTCACCAGTGGTCTGAGACGGTCCAGCCAATTATGGAAGCACTTAGAGGTAGTGTTTCTTTGTGGTTAAAAATGAAATTAGATGAGACTTAGCCCCTAAGTGCTGCAGTGTTACAGTAGTAAATTAGTGGTGTGTTTTTAAGTAGATATGTTTGATAGGTGAAAAGAGTAGGTTTAAGAATTTTTAGATTTGCCCTAATTATCCTTTTTGTTTTTTAAGATTACACTGGCTGCTGTGCCTCCGTTGTTTCTTAATTCTAGGTAGAAATTGCTCTTGTCAGTTTTAAAAGAGTTTTTTTTGCTATTACAATGAAAGCTTGTAATATTGTAATACATCTAAGATATGGTTTGTAGATATGTGAAAGCAGAGGCTGCTGTCTGAGTTTTGTCAGCCTCAGCCTTTCACAGGTGTTGTCTTAAGCTTCTGGATTTTATAACTAATCAGTTTAATACATAGATGCTCAAATGCATTTGTAATTACTTTGAGAGATTCAGAGCCCATTGTGACAGAGCACTGATCCCACAGTAAAATCTCATTCTTGCCTCTCTACATTCTCCCACCCCCTAACATTTGCTTCCAGTCCTCCTGGTTCACTCTTTATAAGATTGTATAATGATCTTGTTTTATGTTGTGACATACTCTTATTTCTTATTGTTACCTTATTCCATAGTTAATATCCACCTGCACTGTATGTCTTCCTGCTCTGGAGAAAGTTGGTGAGCAGGAATTTTTTAATAACTATTCATCACTCTGGTAAGGGATATCCACTTTACAGGGCAACAGGGCAGCAAAGATTGTTTCTGAGATTCACATACAGTATTCTTAGCAGCATCAAACAGGACAATGTAAATGACAAAACAGGAGGCAGCTACTTGAAATGTGAATGAAATGAACAGAATCCTAAGGCAGGCAGATAGATGGGAAGGGAGGAGTGTGGCAGAAGAGTACATAGGTGTAGCAGGGGCAGTTTTAGAAAGCAGCATTGGAAGCCTCTTCATATAAGTCCCAAGGAATTGGTGTTATAGTGGACTTACATAGTATCCTTGTGATTCAGCCTTGTGATTGTGGTGGCGCAGTCACAGGGCTTGTGCCTTTTCCCAGTGTCATACACCCAGTTTGCCGGCAGGACTGGGCTTGGGGCTCCTTACTCGTTCAGCAAGTATTCTGTTGTATACCGTCAGGTCTGTAGTTTTATTCCCTCCCAGAGCCTCCTCTCACTGAACTCCATGAGATTGAGAATTCCTGGAAAGCAGTTCACTAGACCTAGAAAGGCTGTATAGCATACCATGTGGGAGTTTAAACTCTGGATCCACACTTCCAGAGTTCAAATTGCGGGTCTGTCACTTTTGGGGTGACTCCTCAGTGTCTCATTTTCCTCATTTGTGAAATGGGATTTGAGATAGTACTCTCTTCAGGTTATAAATGAAGTTATAAATAGTACTCTCTTCAGGTTATAAATGAAGTTATAAGTAGTACTCTCTTCAGGTTATAAATGAAGTCATAAGTAGTACTCTCTTCAGGTTATACTCTGTAACATGGACCTTGTTCTAAAGCACTACAACCCTGAAACTTCAGCAGATCCCCGGGTTTACGAACGGTGCCGTGGTTTCCTTTGTAAAATGTAGCCGGGTCAGGATGGTCCTGTAACAGCTTGGGCTTACTGATGAATTTAGTATTTTGCTTCTTAACGTATTAGCAACTTGTTTTCTAGTTAAGAACAATCTTTCTTAGATATTTTCCCTTCTGTTCTAAATTAGACACAGTCCTATTAGAAAACTGAAAATGACTTAATTGAAGAGAAGCTAGTGAAAACTGTTTTTGCAGGAAACCAACAAGGACTGAAGTGCCCAGGAGCTGGATGGACAGTAGCCATTCTCCTTTGAGGACTGAAAGGGCAGTGTTACCGTGGTTGTGAACAAGGGGCTGCCCCACAGGATGGACACAGAAGATCAGCTGGAGCAAGGCAGGGAAGGGGCATAGGAAATACATTTCCTGACTTTCCTCCCAGCCTCTGATCTGATAGAGCACCCATTCGCCAAAGCAGGAGAGCTCAGGTGCCACAGGCATTGGTGGCCAACCTCCCTGGCATGCGGCACGGCTGGAAAAGACAGGAGCGGAGTCGAAGGGGTGGGAGTGACTCGCTCCTCTTCCCTTCTGTCTCCGGCACTGGCAGTGATGGATGAGTGGCACTTGAAGATTTGTTAAACAACTGAATTTGCGTTCTGTTAGCACCTGTTTTCACCAAAAATGTGTTCCAGGAACAGTTTGTCACAGACATTGGATGCTAGCTCACTTTATTCCACCCTCCAAGGTGTCATTCTAGGGAGGGACTGAGGTGACGCATTTCACAACTTGAGGATCACATAGTGACTAGTCAGAATGTACATGTCATTCGCGCCGAGTGGATATTGCAGCTTCTGAGGCTAAGAAAGCTTAGCCTTTACTTTTGCTTCGTCAGCTCACTCCTGCCTCCCATTTTACGGTTTCTTTCCTTTTCCAGTTGTGTCTTTTTACTTTTTACTCTTTCTTTCGTCTCCTCCATTCTTACTGTATTCCTGTTTTATTCCCCACTCTGAAAATATGACCAGAATATTTGAACTGAAGTAAATGTTTTTAAAATATGGTTGACTTATCAAATGAATATAGTTTGACGGTATATACTTTTATTTCCCTAAAAAAGTATATATTTTTTCCATTGTTGGCTCAGTTCTTTTTCGTTGAATGTCTGCAGCCTTAATAGAAAAAATTTCTTGATGTTGTAAAGTCTCTTAGGTTAGAGGCTGGTTAAAGGAAGGACGGAATCTAGTGGAAAGAGCAGACGGGGCTCAGTGGAAGCCGGAGAGGATGTCGGGCTCAGTGTGAAGGGAGGGAATGGACTCTCAGCAGTTTTGAAGGAATGTGAGAAAACAAAGCCTAAGTCTTGGAGCCGTGCCCCATTTCGGTCCTCATGGAACCATCAACAAGCATGTGTTTGGCATATATTTCACTGGATGCTAGGTGTTTCGGGGATTATAAGGATAAGAGATTGCCCTTCCTGTGGAAGTTTAGGATATAATTGAAAAGGGGGTAGGTGGAACAGGGTCTGCCGTAGGGGGTAAAGTTGTCGGTTAAAGTAGAGGTGTAAACAATACTGCTGAGTTTGGAGGAGGACAGAGAGTTATACACAGACCCAGGCATGGCCGAGAGCAGACAGGAGGGCATTTCAGGCCACAGAACAGCATGGACCAAAAGCTCCAGAGGGAGAAGGTGTAAGTCTTGTCTGAGAGCCAGCGGACTAGTTTGGCACAAAGGGTGTCTGAGGGAATTGGTATAGTTTGACAATGTCCCAGGAATGGAGAGAAGATTTTAAATATCGGTGTTTCTTTTACATATGTACACTGGCCTATTAAATATGGAAAGTAAAATCCAGACTATTTCCTAAGCATGTTGACCACCAGGTGGAGGAGCTCTTGTGTTACCAAAGAGCACAGCGCAGGAAGATAGGCCAGCTGCTTTCATAGGGCTCAACTCTGCCTTACTCCTGTGTTTATTTAACGTGAGTATGTAAGCCTGGGGACAATCCCAAGTGCCATTTTCAGGGAAGGTTTTGTTGCAGGTGTTTGACTGTCCCTTCTCAGACTCATTCTTTCAGGGTGGGAATTTAGGATTTTGAACCATAATTCAGTCAAGAGTTTGATGCAGACTTGAAGAATGCTCCAGTTATAAGATTTGTTCTGTAGCTCTTAGGGGTGGTCCTGTATTAGACAGTTTTCAAAAGGATGGCTGATTACACAAATCAGTTTTCTCCTCCTTTGATTCCAGCATTTGTAAAGGAAATAAGATAAGTAAAATTTGTATCCCCATTGCATAAACGTTGCATTGTATTAGGGTTAGAGCCTTGGGTTTATTAACCGTTTTCTATCTTTGTGACTTCCATCATTATCTGAGATTTTTCATTTGAGAGGAAGTGTGAGAAATGTATTTTTTTATTCAGCGATATTTGAACCTCCTTTACATACTGGCCATATATATTTATGAGCACAGAAATCTTTGGGTTCATCTGGTCTTGCTTATGAAAACTGGACAAGGCCAGTGGTGTGACTTAACAGTGTGTTTTGAAAATGCCTGCTCCATTGGTTCACTCTGTGCCAACCTTCCACTCCCATAATAGATGCAACAAGGAGACGAGCCTTCGCCCTGGTCTCACAAGCGTATACGTCAATAATTGCTGATGATTTCGCAGCCTTCGTGGGACTCCCTGTAGAAGAGGCTGTGAAAGGTATTTTTGGCTTACTTTACTTACAAGGAAAATGGAAAATAGAAGTGTGAACTGTAGGTTCACAGTTTCCTCTGAAACACTTGGAACAGAATATGCTTTTGGAATCCAGGCTGTGTTTGTTTTTTGAAAGGTGATCTGAAACAGGTGTTGCAAAACACCCCAGCAGGCACCCTGCCACCAAGCTTACTAATAGTTCCATGGCGAGTACTTGTGTGAGTATCCACACAGCTAGTTACAGAAATACATCCTAATCGGCCTCTTTGCTCACACTTGGAACTCCTTCTTTCACCCTTATTTGGTAAAGGCAGCATCATCCCCACACCCCTTTTCAGCCCATTTTTCCTGCCAGTTCTGACCCATGCCCTAGGCACTTGCTTGCTCCCCACTCACACCTGCTGGTCTCTCCGAATGTACCTTCGCATTTTACTTCTCAGGTGATCCCCAGAGTGACGCTTCCTCTTGCTCATTGCTGTAGGATAGTGTATACACTTCGTTGCTTTGTTTTACCTTGATTGGCGTGTTTGATTCTCCAGCTGAACTATGAGCTCCATCAAGCTCCATATCCTCAATTTGCAGGGCCTACCCCAGTTCTAGACATATGAAGATAGGTTAATGAAAGTTGTTATATTCAGTTACTAAATACTTGTATTTACTCCTCCAAATATTTATTCGTTTTGGCTCTCAAAATTGATCCATTATTTGTTTTCTAGATAGAACATACTTCAGAAACCATGCTCTCAGCCGACTACCTAGATGTGAATCCTGGTACCACCCATCCCTGATGCTAGTAGCTATGTGACTTAGGACAAATCTCTTGAATTCCCTAAACTTCATTTTGCATACCTGTCAAATGATGGCCCTATATCCCTCTTAATAGAATTGTGATGATTATATAAAATAATCCCTATGAAAGCACGTAGTCTTGTACCTACAGGTAAACCTTCTGTGTATGGAAACTGTTTTTGTCCTTGCCATCTTTGTTATTACTGATACGATGGTCCCAAAAGGTGTCATATTAGATTTCCTTATGTTTGATTTAAAACAGGATTGATTAGGTTAATATTACAATGTATTCTTGGCAGGAAACTGACCATCTTTTAGTGATTACAGCAGTTGTAGCAACCTAATAGAGTAAAATGAGGTTTGATACCTGCTTCAGAAATACTGCAGTAAGAAATTTCCATGCTCTATTAATATACCTTTCTAGTAAAAATGCATGTGAAAGGTTACACTAAACACGTCATGTCTTCTATACAACTCATGTCATGGACAAGTTGTGGATTTTGTTGGGTATTTTTTATTATTTCCACATCTTTATGTGAAATACACTTTTTTAGGTATATTAGAACAAGGATGGCAAGCTGATTCCACCACAAGAATGGTTCTGCCCAGAAAGCCAGGTAGGTGGAGCTTTCACCCATTTATGCAACGCTGAACACTTCTAAGACGGCTTCAGGTTTTCAAGCTTTGATTTTTGATAATTGGATATAAAATTCTGCTATACTAACACAATGGAAAGAAGTCATTTTAAATAAAGCCTAGTAGACAGAGTAGAAAGGAGCTTAAAGGTCACCTACTTTAAACTCTTAAAAATGTATTTCCTGTATATAAACGATTTTATATAGGTGTTTCATGGTCCTTCTTCCTTCTTATGCCTTAGTTTTTACTAAATATTAATCTCTTTTTTTTTTTATTTTTTGGAGACAGAGCCTTGTTCTGTTGCCCAGGCTGGAGTGCAGTGGCGCAATCTTGGCTCACTGCAACCTCCACCTTCCAGGTTCAAGCAATTCTCCTGCCTCAGCCTCCCGAGTAGTTGGGACTACAGGTGCATGCCACCACACCTGGCTAATTTTTGTATTTTTAGTAGAGACAGGGTTTCACCATGTTGGCCAGGCTGATCTCAAACTTCTGACCTCAGGTGAGCTGCCCTTTTCAACCTCCCAAAGTGCTTGGATTACAGGTGTGAGCCATCACATCTGGCCAGTCTCCCATCATTTTATGGAATCGTTTGTCCATAAAATGAGCTTGTCCTTGACCGTTGTCTTTAAAAAAAAAAAAAAGTTTTAATATTCAACTGCCCCCCCACCTTTCTGCTTGCACTCAAGTCACATGGGTACTTTTCCTGTGGCTTTCACTTTCACCAAGTTAACTTCTCTAGCCTTCCTTTTAAGGCCTTAATTTCTGTGACCTGTCCTTGTGGTCTTAATCTGAATTCTCAGCCCCTCAGTCTTGCTGTCTGAGGTGAACCACACTTGTTCCCGCCTGGTTGTTTCTCTTCCTCCTGCTGACCAGGGGTATGCTTTTCTGCCAGGTCTTTAGAGCCAGGCTTAGTGCCCACTTCCATACACCCTCCTGCATCCACATCAACCCACATTTCCTCCCACCTACTCTGAATGCCTGTTGTTTAGACGTTGTTGAACATACAGTAAAGGCTTCTCAATATGCTCAGCCCGTTGAGGTACAGAGAGTGGGAAGACATGATCCCAGTCAAGTGAGATGGTGGGGAAGAGTAATATACGAAAGACTTGCAATGTTGCTGTACCTGTTTGAGAAACAAATGGCCCTAAATTCATGTTGTCTGCAAATAGCATGGTCTGTGAGAGGTCTTAACAATGACTTCTGTAAGTTGAGCTGAACATTTTTTTTTCATTTAGTTGCAGGGGCCCTCGATGTTTCCTTTAACAAGTTTATTCCCTTATCAGGTATGTATTTTCATATGCACATGTTTTAAATGTCTCATTGTTCCTGATTTCCTTTTTGTAGTATGTATGTATATGTGTGTGTGAGGGTGTGTGTATGTATTCCTCACCTGGTAAACAGAGGTTGCATTTCATAAACATGTACTAATACTTCTGGCTACAAGAGTGAAACTGGGCTCCCCAGAGCTTGCCTTGAGGTGGTGGCCTCCTCTGGGCCAGCTGCAGAGCCTTCTCACTGTCGTGTCAGGGAGCCCTGCCAGAGCTGCTCACCAGCACTCTTATTCAGAAGGCACCCCCAGGCTGATATGTAGTAACTTAAGTGTTGGAATGTAAATTTCTTGAGGTTCTTTGTGGGTTTTTTGTTGTTGTTGTTGTTCACTGACAATTTAATATTCTTCAGTGATGCCTGGGGCATGGGAGGCACTCTGATTATTTCTTGAATTTAATGTTGCATGAGTAAGGATGTTTTCAAGAAGAGCTGTGGTCTTTTAAAAGAGATGCTGTATGATGAAAGTGTCTTTAACCTTTGCATAGAGTACTTCAATAACAAAGCATCAGACATGTTTTGTCTGATGTCAGGTAAAACCATACTCACTAAAATTGAGATTTCTTGGCTTGCTTTTCAAAAATACCCAGGCCACTGTGATGCAAGGTTTTGTCTAAAACCAGGACAAATCTAAGAACGTGAACTTATTGTTGGAAACTGAAGGCAGTAGTAAAGGTGGGTGTTGAGGCCAAACCTTTGTTACAGTGGTGTCTAACCTGAAGCATGTTTGTTTCTTTAACATACAGAACCTGCTCCAGTTCCCCCAATACCCAATGAACAGCAATTAGCCAGGCTGACGGATTATGTGGCTTTCCTTGAAAACTGAATTATCACTGAGTTCAAGATTCACCTTCAGAATCCTGTATACTGACAAACATGGAAATGTAAAGTTTGTATTTTCGATTTATTGGCTGGATTAAGCACCTCAGCATTCCTTACTGAGTATGTGATAAAATACGTATATAATGTAATGTAAAACATACTGCATACATCTTGTCCTTAAACATTATGCAGAGCGGTTGCTGAAACAGGTCTCAGTTTGTAATATTTAATAATCTGGATGGAGCCTGTCAGTATTACAGTTAGTTTGTTTTCTAGTGACTCATAAAATAAGATTTCCTGTTTCATGTAGAATAGTGTTTGTCAACTGTCTTTTCTCTGCCCCAGCACGTGCCACACTGTTATCTGTACCATTTGTTGATAGTTGGAATAATTCATTTGGATTTGAAGAAAGACTGCCCCCAGGCACAGTATTTGAATTGCTGGAGATTATGATTCATCCCCTTTGGAGAATATACTTTCTTTTCACCCCCCACATCCTGAGAGCCACTAATGTAAAATACAGAGATGTAGCTGAGGAAAAAATAGACCATTTCCATACTAAACCAATTGGTTAACTTTAGATTTCTTCCAATAGTGTGAGTGTATCCATTGCTGGCAGTGAGGGCTTGCCATGAAAATGCAACCTATTTAAGGCATTCATGAGAAGTATTACGTTGTGCTGTCTCCTTTTACAAGGGAAAACTTAAATGTGGAATGCATTCTATGGGGAAAGAAGCTATGAAGATGTGTGAGACACTTTGTACAACTATCCTGCAGCCCATTGGTTGCTTCTGTTTATCCCTTGGCTCAAGTTCTGCCCTTTGGAGAAATGCTGAGCGAGTCTTTTATTCTCTGTGTGACAGCCCTCTGAATATTTGAAGTTGTTTGTTTTAACTTCAGGTTATAACAGCCCTTAGTTCATTTATTCTGCATTTGTTCAATAAATATTTAACTGAATTCTTCAACCATTTCATTCAAGGTAGTTTCTAGAAATTTCACTATCTCAGTCTTTCTGTGGACACAGTCTAGACTAGACTCTTTGTCATTGTCTCAATATGAATTTCTTAATTAAGTAGAAATGAGCTATATAGTGAACTGTGTAGTGATAATTACATTATTTATTTTAAATGCATTTTAGTGGCTATTTCAGTTTTCCTTAACATATATGGGAATACTTTTCGAATTGCAATTTTATTTAACCCGGATAGGGAAGTCATATTAAAATTCCTTGTTTTACAGTTGAGGAAATGGAAATTCAAGAAGTCAGAGGATCAGTAGAGTGATCACGAGAATGACAGAGCCAATTTTTTAACTTCCAGGTATTAAGTACAAATTGTATCCGTGGTTATTTTTAAAAGCAGATTAGAGTCAATCCAAATGTTCATTAATAGCCATTGGATGAATAAACAGTAGTGTAGACTGTGCAGCCGTAGAGGAGTGAAGATCTCTATACTGAACTGGAATGATCTCCAGAGTGAGAACATAGAAAGTACATGTAGTTTATATGCGTCTTTAGAGGGTAACAAAAAAAGAACGATTACAATTATATTTACATACATATTTCCTTATATTTCAAAATGAAGCAATTGAGGGATATATACAAAATCAGTAAAATAGTTCCCTAAAGAGGAAGGAGAGGACAGTGAACTAGAGAAAAAATAATCTCAAGCGACTCAAACACAGTATTTCCAGAGACGCATCCTGCTGGCAGAAACACCTTAGACTAATGAATGTGGTTTTTCATGATTAATTTCCCAAAATCTTGATGTCATCATTATTAAAAGTATATTACAGATTAAATTAGTAATCATGCAACAGTAGACCCTAGTAATCTTAAATTTGACATGGAAACCTCATTATATGTTTTATTTTTCTTTGTAAACAGTAAATATCTCCCACTCCTGTCTACTGAAAAGGTCTAGAATAACTACAGTTCAGTAACCATGAGCACCACTAGTACCTAGATTGTATTCTCTCATTTTCATTTGCAATTAAAAGGAATAAGAACTTATTTGCAAAACAGCTAATAGGTCCAGGGCAATAAACGTACAGGTTCATAGCTGGTACAAGATGTCTAGAATTCAAGGAAGCTCTTAAAGACTTGGGATTCTGTCAAAGGGTTACACGAGCCAACGTGAAGGGATTTCTGCAGGCCATGTAAAAAAGTACCTGCAGCCCTTAATGAAACAGAAGGGATCTTGGAAATAAATATTAATGCTGTTGAGACCACAGCGTAGGAAAATGAGAATGAGCATAACGTATGTCCCGTACATCCATCAGCCTGTCTTTGTGCTCTGGCTACTTCCAAACCAGCCATCTGCATACAGGTGTAGCCTGACAGCACCCTGCTTCAGATCCATTGAATAGCTCTTCAGTCTTGCCCTGGAACTTACCTGACACTACCATCAGGATGCCCACACAAACCTGGGTAAGAGGGTGTTAGCCCATGGGCAGCCCTTCAGCAGCTGTGAACATGACATGGTGGATAAGCTCTCTTCCTTGTCTCAGAGTAGACTATTGCAGATGTACTGTATACCTAGTTCCTCAAAAAGAACCCCAAAAAGATTGAGCTGTGGTGTCCCATTGTCATAAACTCTCTAGTGCAACCTTCAATTGTTTTTTCCTCCTTCCTTGTTTTACTTTTCCTGGTTCTCTGTCTCTCGTTTCCAGACATCAAGAGAAGTGATCTATCTACAAATCTGTACATATCTATACTATTCTGCCTTGGGGCAGGGATTGGGGACCTAGTCAAATCAAAGGGGAATGTGTAATACAGGAATCTAGCTGAAAGCACCTTAATCCACTCATTCGTAATAAACAAGCCTGATACGATGGCATAGTAAGCATACTGCATCAATCATCAAGCTTTCTTGTCCAAAAAAGTTCACATATATATGTGTATATATGTATATATAACTCTAATCAAAGTTTTATACTTAAAACCACCTCCAGACAATGAAATGGCATTTTCAACATGTTGAAAGTAAAACAAAATCCTAACTGCTACATACAAAAGATACTCTTAATATTTCTGTATTACTTATATATAAATAACTCTAATCCAAATATATATATATTTATATATAAAGCTCTAATCAACACTTTAGATTTGCTAGTTTACATAACATGAAAATTAGTGGAGCAAGTTAAACATCCCACTAAGAAGCAATCAGCCAGTTCCAGAATGTGGGAAATTTAACAGGAGTAGTGAGTTTCCTTGAAAAATAAATGACAGAAAGTCAGGGGGTAGTGGTAAGTATGAAAATTTCTGCTCCTGGGTTCAAGTACCTTGAGGCCAACTCAGAATTGTGCCAATAAATATAATAGGTGAATACACACAGTTATCCCTTGAGACACATCAGCCCCTAAATCAGTGAGGAATGAGGAGCCAAGAATTGACAGTACCATAATGAGGTCATCTGCAACAGCTCTTTGCAGGTGGGGGGTGGTATTTGCTGATTCCACTGGGCACAGCAAGATCCAAGCTTTGCCTGGCGAGGGGTCCACTGCTGGGTAACCTAGCAACCTGTAGAATTGGGTACTTTACAGGGCTAGGGTGATAAAAATGGAGACTTGTGAGGACTAAACCACATACTGTTAACCCTTCAAGATACTTGGTGAACTTACAAGCTGCCTAGGCCAAAAAGCAAGTCAAAAACCTTTGAGAAACAGTTTCATCTTCCTGGAGTCTTGCTATGCCAGGGCTCCATTAAACAAGGTTGGTGGGTCGGGGAAGGTGTTTGCTTATAAGTATAAGCCAGAAGTAGAACATTAGTAAAACTGCTCCTGGAAAACAGGTCAATATAAAATACTAAACTGAAGTACAGAATGGAACTTAACTGGCAGTCATGTTAGAGACGTGGTACACAGCGTAGCGATCTACCATTTATCTAATTGGAATCCAGGGAAGAGAGAGAAAACAGAGCAGAAAAATAGAAGTGCCGGCCCAGAATTTTCTGAAACTGTTGAAAGAAATCAAGCCACAGATTCAAAAAGCTCAGAAAACCCCTCCAGAGGATAAGTGAAAAGAAAACCACACCCAGGCAATAATAGTAAAACTACTGAAAACCAGAGACAAAGAGAATATATTAAAAGCACAGAGGGAGGACCAGGAGGGGACATTGTCTTCAAAGAAATAGTGATAAAGCCAGACAATGAAATGGCATTTTTAACATGTGGAAAGAAAAAAAATCCTGACTGCTATACAGGAATAAAAAATACTCAATATTCCTGTGTTCTTACATTTAAAAGTTGGAAAAAGATACACCACTGCAAATACCAAAAGAAAGCTGGTGTATCTTGAGAGTTGGACCTCCATATATGTGGGTTCTACATCTGATTTAACCAACTGGCTCAAAAATATTTGAAAAAAAGTGATTTAAAAAATACTTCATAACAACTATATATTGCATCATATTTGGTATTAAATCTAAAGTATACAAGAGAATGTGTATAGGTTATTTCCAAATACTATGTCTCGTCCACACATTTTGTATACCTGGCAGTCCTGAAGCCAAGTATACCCCCTGTGGATATTGAGGGGCAATTGTATTAGACAAACTAGACCTCAAGGCAAGAAGCATTGTTAGAGATAGAAAGTGATTTTTAATGAAAAAAGTTGCATATAGTTTCCTTCTGTAACAAATTGCCACAAACTTAGGGCTTAAAACAACACAGATGTATTATCTTACAGTTCTGCAGTTCAGAAATCTAAAATGGGTCTCACTGGGCTCATGTCACTAGGACTGCATATTTTTCTGCAGGCTCTAGGGGACAAGCTGTTACCTTGCCCTTTCCAACTTCTAGAGGCCACCCACTTTTCTTGGCTCATGGCCGTCTTTCTCCACCTTCAAAGCCAGCAACATTGGGTAGAGTTATTTTCACACTGCTCACTCTCTGGTTCCCTCTTCTGCCTCCTTTTCCACTTTTAAGGACCCTGTGATGATATTAGGGCCACCTAGAAATTCAGGATAATCAGTCTCTTTTGAGGTAAGCTGATTAGCAATCTAATTCTGTCTGCTATGTTCATTTCCTTTTCCCATGTAACCTGAGATTGTACAGATTAGAGTATCAACATCTTTGGAGGTTCATTATTCTACCACAGAGATCAGTCCAAAAGGCAATAGGAATATGCAGCAATTCAAAATTGATAATCAAAATATAATCAAGTGGAAGTTGACAGAAGTAAAAGGAGAAAAGGGTCATCTATGATAATACTGGAAGACATTAATATACCTCTCATATCAGCTGATGGCATGAACAGAGAGTATCACCAAGAACATGGAAAAGGTGACAGACTTGATCTAATTAGGATACATAAAACACTAGCCAACAGTGACAAAATGTGTACTCATTTTATGCTGTATAAACCATTCACCAAAATTGAATACATAAAAGACCATAAAGCCCTAATACATTACAGAGTAGAAATCAAAATGAGTGCATTCTCTGAAAACAGTATAGAAATCAGTAAAGCCCATAGAAATTACTAGGAAATCTCTATCTGCTTAGAAATTATGTAGTAGGCTGGGCACATTGGCTCACACCTATAATCCCAGCATTGTGAGGCTGAGGCAGAAGATTGTAGAGCTCAGGAATTAAAGACCATGCTGGACAATATAGACCCCTGTCTCTACAAAAATATAATTTATGACAAACCCAAAGCCAATGTCATACTGAATGGGCCAAAACCAGAAGCATTCCCTTTGAAATCTGGCACTAGACAAGGATGCCCTCTCTCACTACTCTTATTCAATATAGTATTGGAAGTTCTAGCTAGAGCAATCAGGCAAGAAAAAGAAATAAAGGGTATTCAATTAGGAAAGGAGGAAGTCAAATTGTCTTTATTTGCAGACGACATGATTGTATATTTAGAAGACCCCATTGTCATAGCCCAAAATCTGCTGAAACTGATAAACAACTTCAGCAAAGTCTCAGGATACATAATCAATGTGCAAAAATCACA